CTCGTTAATGACTGAACATTTCCTGTTTATGCGTTGCCTCTAGTTTCTTGCCTGATTGCTTTCAGTAACCTGTATGATTTGAAGTTATCACGAGCGATTTTTGATGAGATAAGGGATGGAAAGTCACTAGGCCGATAGAAACTTTTGGCAGGTCTGCGCACGCTGATACATACATTTTCTGGGGTGAAATTCACTTTCGATTTCCAATTTCTGCCGACATAGCCGGGGCAATATGGCCGTGAGTTACATTCATGGACTTATGGAAGATAACACACATGCCCTGAGCTACTGGTGAAATAAGAACCCCAATCCAAGCATCTCAACATGTACCGCGTCTCTTCTCAGATAGCACTTTTACACGACTGTGGTTGTTTTTGACCTGGGAGCTGACGTGGTGCTGGAAGATAGTTGGAAGTCACCAAACTACTCTGTGATCGCTAGGAAGGAGTTCTGAACCGACTTAAAGAGTTGAAGGCAATAACCTATCGGTGAAAACGAGGTCAAGTATGCTGTCGTGTCAAGTTGGTTGCATTACATGCTGGTGCCATTCCAGGGAATCCAACACATTAGTAAAATTGTCAAACCTCCCGGGAGAAGTAAGTAACTGCCACTTGATGTCAGGCATATTAAGATCTCCATATATGGGTTTCATAGAGTAGGGTAGTGCTGTCGTATGAGTGAATGCTTCTGCAAGTCTGCCATCGTAATCTACGGTAGAGCAAGGGGACAGTAGCCACGCCCTAGGGGGAGAGTTATAGCATTTGGAAACTTCACCACAACCCACGCTTAGTTATTGAACAAATTAGGTTTTGCAGTGCTGCAGTTTGTAGCAGCAATGTCGGACATGATATAAATGATGCAGCCACGATTGTGTCTATCTCCTCCAAACAGAGGATAACTGCTGAGATGACATCATCGTCAGGGGTATCTGAAATACTCTGGGCTTCAGTGATAAATACACTTATAGTGCAACTTTTTTGAGCGATAATAGCTCCGTTCCAGACAATATATTTTTGACCCGCTTTTGAATTCCGCGCGTGATATCTCAACAAGTTTACTCTTTGAACAGCATTTTCAAGTTAAATTACCATCCTAGTCATATAGTGTCAGTAGCGGTGGTGTAAGTTTCAATGATACAGCTCATGCTTGGACGCGAGAAATGTACCACATAAGACTTCAGGGTATTTTTTAAGTGGAATGTAGAGCCATATAGATCCCTACTCCTCGTGTCCTCTTTGGATACTCTAGTCCTCAATATTCCCTTCCCAAATTCTCAGATAATTAACCTCACTTCTATGCCTCCATGTTTCTCTTCCTTTTACGACGTGCAGATTATAGTGGCGGCTCAGACAAACACATTGGGCACCGATACACACTTCGAACTTCCATACAACATGTATGAACTATCACTTTTTACCGCCTATTGATGCAAAAGACCACAAGACAACTCTTTCCAGACCACAGACTTTCCAGAATTCATGGCTGCAATTGGAAGCGCACCTAGAAATGTTGGTAATGAATGTTGTTGGCACCCAAACATACGGGTTCTTCCGTTCCTGATAACCACTCGCCTGGAAACAAAGCTAACCGAAAGTGACCCTATATGAAGCCCACAGCTTGAAGTCTTATTTAATGGTTTGATGGTGAAACCCCACATATTCCCCACCGTAGTATGACAACAGCAGCTGGATAGAATTGCACCTCCGGCTTAACTTGTTCAAGTGACCCTATTCACAACAATATGGACCTAAACAAATCCTACACTCTGCATGACACCATACGATGGTAGACCCAAATCCCCCTCGCTGTCCATCCCAGTATTCGACTCTGAGTTCACTTGCCATGTGTAGACAGTATAAGCTCACTAAACAATGACATATCCTCAGATTCCTCTTTTCCCAAATACGAAATGGAATATACTCTTATAGATTACATGACTCACTGTTGCCAGGACACTTCTCACACCGAGTGATCATACTCGCCTGATTTTCACTGCTGCTGTTTAACGATATGGCTTTTACCCAATATTTGTGGCCAGCTATTTCTAAACACTTGTTTACTCAAGGGGACGTTGCATGGCGTGGTGAATTGTTTCTTTCTAAACTTTTTCATCTTCGTTAAAAAAATGACACTCAGTTATTACCTGTAAAAATGGCAGACGTTCGTATTATTCATTATTCGAAATGTATATTGTTATAATACACAACGCCCAGCTGTTTTAGACCATCGTCTCTTTCATGGATACGTTGTTGAAGATGGATGGGAATAGAAAAGTACTCATGGGCTTGATAACGGATGGGTATTCAGCCGGTATAAGAATTCGAAGTTCCAGCAAACCTCTCTTGAATAGTTCTGTGGTGAACTATGGTGAACAAAGGAACACACTGCCATTAACCGTGCCGTTGTTCTGCAGTTTTGAAGTAGACTTGTGTGGTGGTAAGTTGGAGACATTATAAGAATGCACAAGAGTATATTTTACAGCTTGTTCACATTCCAGCAGTTAAAGCAAACTCAAAATGAGCAATCAAATTTAACATACGATAGAAACTTTTGGCAGCCCAAAGCAGAGTGTAAGGACGATTACAGGCTGTGAGGACAAGAAGCGTCATACCACAAACGATCGGGGGGGGAGGTTGAGACATCTGACAGTGCTGAAGGGTCATTAACGAATAATCAGAGTGAAAACGTTTTTGAATAACACTTCGTTAGGATATTGGACGTGGGGAATGCCCTATAGCCTATTTGACAGACAGCTCAAGACAGCAACTAATCCACCGCCAACATCACTTACTGTAAGTGTTTCAGGAAGGCGATACAAAACTGATGAACGTAAAGAGTTCATCAAACTGAGTGTTGCGAAAACTTCCAATACACAGAATACGGAGATCTCCGGGCTGTGACGACACAAGACAAGTGGTCCCACGGAATTGTTTCAAAGTGATGAACATAGCCACGTGCAATCTGTTCACTCATTGGTTGAAGGTAAGCCAACTCCTCAAAGGATGGAAACGTGCTATCCACCCACCAATCTTCAGGGGAGGAAACCATAGAAACCTACGCAATTGCAGACAGAAGGCATTACTTCCTACGCTATCCAGGGAACCGGAAAGCCTGGTCGCAGATGTTGTTCGGGGCCACACAGACGAAAACAGTATCGTTCGCCCGACGCAGCACAGCTCCACAATCGGACGGTCATGTGTTACAAACTTCATGACCGCTCAGGATGACTGAACCAATATATAGGACCTCATAACTTGAGAATAAAGATATTTATTTATTTCAGCAACCAGTCTCCTTTATCACTGTGGGCTCGGCTTAAGCTTCGGCAGCGTTACACATTGCACCATGCCCACCGAACTTGCAAAATCAGGTGTCAATGAACCACTCATCACCGTTAACGGCATGTCTAGAGGATGGAAACCCTGTACCAAAGTACTCAGAATTCGATTAGCCTGGGGGAGTGCAAGAACAGGGGTTTCTCAAAGAGCGATTCTTAGAACACTCTTGTTTTCTCCATTCATCATTGTCCAACACTCAAATCTTCTCCTCCATCCTCCTATTTGCCTGCGACATCAAAATATGGCGAACAGTAAGTAGGGGAGGGGATCATAAGGTATTCCAAGATGATCTGCTGCAACTTGAGTTCAGGTTAGGCGTAAACCGTTCTGGATTTAGCCTGGAGAAGTTCGAAGTGATGTATCTTTGCACACCCGAAGCGATGAAAACCAGCTACATCCTCAAAATGCACAGTCACCAAGGTATCCACAGAGGAGGATCCAAGAATAAGCTCTTCTGACACACTGGGTGCTGGTGTCAGCTACAAGATAACGGTGCCATAAGCGAAAGCCGTCATGCACTTTCTGAGAGTGGCTTCAAAGGCCACCCTGGCAACTGTCGGAGCAGCCAATCATGCTTTTGTATTTCGGCTAGGAAGTCAAATTTTCATAAAATGCAGAGCTATAATTGGTCGTCTTAACAGTCACTGTGGTGGCTTTTAAGGTCATCTCTTTCTAGGAAGGCAGCTTGGAGCGAAAACTGCCGAATTGTTTCTCATGGTATTGAAAACCTACGTCGGATCACACCCAGAGGTATCGAACACGATGCCACTCCTCCTACCAAGAGGAGACAAGAACAGTTACGAGGAGGTACGGAAAAGGGTGACATGATCGGATATTGCGCCAACAGGCAAAAAGTGAGCATGGACCTAGATAACTCAGCTTACTAGCATTCAGCAACTGAAGGAAAAGAGGCGGCCTGATAGCGCTACAGGATCGTCCACCAAGTGGATCGCCCCAACACGTCAAAACTACCGGTCCAAAACCGGTAGTCTGACGAACGCCCCACTCATGTGCCACGCCAAAGGACAAGAAAGAGGGTGAGATCTGGCTTTTTCTCACGCAATTTGGGGTTTGTGCTCTGTTTAAGGAAGTAGTCACAGCCCTATCAGTTGACTCCCTCAAACGATTGCTAGACAAGCATGTGAATGAAAACAACCAACCACTAACATTTGCTGGCAGCAACCGAAGTTTTGCCCATCCAGCCCTGTGCTCTGTACCCCTAGTATCTGCAAAAAGACTTATCCCTTCTCGACATTATTACTAGTAACACTTATTTTTCCATAAGTAATTTTCACTCCTTTTTTCTCACTCCCCAACCGCTCTATTTCTCGCGTTACTTTTTAAATGACGCCTAATACTTACTTTGAAAAAGTTAATTGATCTTATCAACTGCTCTATTCCTCTTTAAATAAATCAGGATACAATGTAGAAAAACTACCTTCAAATAGACAATCACTCTAACCAAAGATATGAGCAAGTAAAACGTAAAGAACTCTGCGACCACCGAGGAAGTGAAGCCAAAGTAAAAGAACCAAACTTCAAGACAGAGAAGTGACAGCTTAAAAACTACAAGTTTCCTCTACTCACACTATTGAAGGTGTATGTTGTTGTTAGATTGTTCAGCGGTATTTATGACGTAGACGCTGTATCGCAAAATTTCGAATGGCTATATTTGGACTGGTCTTCAACCGTGTCCTTATCACTTTATCGCGATCGTTTAGCAATGATACCCTAAGACGAACTCCTCTTTACGACTTCCATACATCTCGTAATGCAAAGATGGTCTCATTCTGTAATTACAGTATGCCTCTTCAATACTCAGACCAAAGCATTATGGATAGTCACCAGTTTGTGCGCCAGCACTGTGGTCTTTTTGATGTCTCTCATATGTTACAAGTGAGTACAGGATTTAATATCGATTCAAAAAGATCCAAATCTTTGGGAGCGATCGAATAAAGTTCACGGAGTCACTCACCTCTGCTGACATTGAGGGTTTATCCAGTTCATCTGGGACGCTATCTGTATTTTTGAACGATGACGGTCGTATAATGGATGACACCATAATAACGAAATGCAGAGAACCCTATTTATATATCGTTTCGAATGCTACATGCGCACTAAAGATACAAACTCATGTTACAGTAAGAGTAGAATTGGCTCTATACATTTAAGTCAAGAAAAAAATGACAGAAGCAAAGAAAATTGGAAAGGAATTGGACCTGAAAATTGTGGACCACGCACTTCTCGCGCTTCAAGGTAACTTGTTTCCCACGTGGTTTGCATTTATGATTAAAGACTGTAAACTGAACTGTGAATACTTCACAATATACATCAGTTGGGTTAGTTACTCGAATATGTGTCTTATCTACAGCCAAATAAAATTTTGCTTAGAATTCAAGTGTATGTAGGTTTATTTCAGTTCGCGATATACATTCTAAGCAGTTTGATTTGTAATCGCTAATAATGATTACAAACCATACTTGTGTTCATTTGGGGTGAAAAATTGTACTTAGTATGTATGCTGCAGCATTTGTAGGTTGGTGAAGTTTAAGGATAACAGTTGCGAATGACAAAAGAACAAGTGCCCTTCAACAACCAGTCGCGTTATAGGGACAAAAAGATATGGAAGCTTGAAATTGTACTCAGGACGTGGTGAGAACATACTGTCACCTACACATCTTTTTTTGTCTACAGGTGTTCTGTGTGTATATAATGGTATTAAAACTCTGTTAAGAGAAAACAACGCAACATGTTGGTATGTAGTTGATAATGCTTTACTTGTTCGCTTTTTGTTTTTTTAAACTTAACTGTTACATTTAGGGTCAGTCATTGCTACAAATAGCGTCCTACAATTTGTACTACTCAAATACTTGAACCACATATCTTTTAAAATTCTGGCGGTTAATTACTAACAAACATCTTAGCTTCATAATTTGCCGAGGTTCTGTTATGACTTTTGGATAATTTATGTCTTTCACATCCTGTTCATTATATTTTGATCCTACAGTGCATTTCGATCCGTAATTTCGTTGAGATTTAAAGTATGCCCCCTTTAATTAAAGTTATTTTAGTTATGGGAAAATAAGAATTTCTAATAGTAGGTGGAAAGCATCAGCCCTTTCGATTCTCCCGTCATCATAATTCTTCCTGAATTGAATTGTCTGATTTACAAAACTCTAGTTTCAGAAGATATTAAGCGCTCACTAGCTTCTTAAAACATTTTGTACTAACCGAATTATAGAAATTTACAAGAATCTTACTAACCTTCTTACTATGGCTTGCAGGTACCTGCTTTTCCTCAGGATTTCTTTGTTAAGCGACAATAACCCTTCTGGAAAGTAAGTTGTTTAGTCAGACAGCATTATTAGTCTGTATTTTGTTGTCTCACCACACAGGGTAGCGAGGAAGTATACTGATCCTTCTACGTCCAAACAAAAAAATGGATGTACATTATTCCTCAACTCCAAGTTTTATAATTAGTTCATTATCGTAATTCGACTTTTGTATCCTCTAAAAGCATTGGTTTCTTGTTAAAAAACATGAAAATACTTTGATAATAATCAGAACATCATGGGTATCATTTACAAAAAGCCTGACAATGTTCATTCTGATGTAGAAACAGCAATAAAGACAATCTGTAACCTACACCGTAAGTTTTGTGAAAGCTAGTGGATTATTGCAACCTCATCCAAATTGGATGATGCAAGAAGACTCATTACAACTGGTTTTGGCCATAATAAGGTGCGAAAGCAGTTCAAACGTTAATTCAACAAGAGTTTTCACAATAATCACAGGAGGTGGTTGATGGCGAAAGCAATGGGAATGAAGATGTTAGCCCTGGTTAGTACTTGACAGTTTTTCACGCTTATTATTGATAATAACAAGGAGAAGGGAATAGTGAGTGAGACCGTCAACGAAAGAATGGATCTTTGATAATCTCTCAGAACAGGTGGCTAGGAAGTTGGGTGGAACATTGTGATCACTGTTCGACTGGCCTAAAGCCATGATTCAGTTTCCTAGCATCCAGTCTGAGCCTGCTTTAGACGTAGATATTAGTGCTGCCGAATGCCATAGTATGGCAGAGTGGGATGATCCCAGTTACTATGTAAAAATTCTCTCACACGACCCACTTTTGTCACGTCTACTAGAGAAGTTCTACTCACTGCTCGCATGTTGCAGGGGGATGTTTCCTCAGGACTGACTGCCAAAATTGACGTAGAACTTCGCACAGGTGAATCGGCTCAATTTCATACACTTCACAGTAGTTCACAAAGAACAGGTAGATAGAAAAAGAGTGATATCAAAGTAGATAAAGTAGTGTGAGAATAAATAATATAAAAATGATGGTTAGTGTGAATATTCAAGCCTTAGAAGATGTCAAGGAGTAAGTACATCTGCGCCACCGTGACTGATTTTCAGCCATGTCACCTAGAGTCAGTCCTCAACCAGTGATTACTTTCGTCTCGGGGACCTCAACCAGGCAGCCTACATTTCCCTACACGGCTCAGACTAATAGTCAGAGACTGATGCCAGGTTTTGGTCTGGCCATCCTTAACCTTCTTCCAACCTAATCCAACTTCCTGTAGCATGGTACGTTAAGGTAAGTGTTGGCTCAGGGCATGCAGTACATGTTCAAGCCATGTCAGTCGACTAAGGTTCTTAACCTCATCAATCGACTGGTCTTTCTTGCCTAGTACTCTTTGCCTGACCTCAACATTGATAACAGTTATTCCGCGAGAGAGAGGATAAACGTTCGTTGCTATAACTGGATTGATGTACATGGAGTATATACCTATGGTGGGGGGTATTGGGAAACCCTGATTCCAAACCTATGATACCCATGGACCCGACCACCCAGAAGGGAAGAATGGTGTACGAACCTATTCTGGTTACCGGCGACCATGGGAATGCAGTATCTCACGTTGCTACACTGTTCTCTGGACCAGAGATCTCTTAAGACAACAGCCTACCACGGTCTGGTCTTTTGGTCAGTTTTAGAAACCTTATACAATCTATGAATCACTGAATTTCCCCGCATTAATCAAAATTCATAATGTAACGATTTGTCAGTTCAGTGATTTCACGTCCTTTTATCATGCTTATTCTTACATTTAAACTATGCTATATTTTCGTTATCATTTTCACCCGCATCTCCGCATGCATCTTTGATTCACTCAGGTGTTCGCCACCGCAACTGATAGTTGCTATCTTGACCTAGTGGTCGGGCTTGTATACCTCAACAACTCAACGCACTATTCTGGTGTAACGCTTGTTCCCTCAAGGTCCTAACATGTCAGAAAGGTGTTTGTTGGATATTAGTTGGAGAACAAGCAGTTACCATTAAATAGTGTAAATTAATACGCCATGACGGATGTCTGAGGGCAAAGTCATAATATTGCTAGATGGATGAGGTGTGACAGTAGTAAGGTGTTTCCCTAGGATAACCAGCAATGCCACTCTTATGCTGCCTTTCCTATAGGAAGGTGGGATTAGGAAAGTTTGGCCTCCAAAATAGCACACTTCCTTCACACAGTAACATGCTGATGCCTGTGACAGGGATTCATAGTCGGACTTGAGAAAAAAAACAAACCGTCAAGCTTCCAGAAAGGTCGTGTGACCGGCCTCCAGCAGATGTGTCTTGTGCTCTACGGTCACGTACAAACCCTTCTTTCAAAGGTACCTAGTTTTCCATAATACAAGCAACCGGGAAGTGTCAACCCTCTTCACAACACCGCCACTTGCACTCATGCTCCCTCAGATCACTACCCACCTCCCACATCTTTACCTTCTAATCCTTCTTCATGTCCCTTGATCAACTAGCCTACATAATCTTTAATTTCTTCCAGCTCTCAGCAACGATCGGTGTCCACAGGACGTCACCCCTGGTCTTTTGAAACTGTTTTGAAACTCGGATCATTGATGTGTGTTGTGTTTGTGAGACACGCATACAGAACGGAAGTGCGGCTTATTCACTTAACCTCACCCGGCCACTATGGTGAATCCGCGAAATTCACCCTTCAAGTTTCTGGAGATTTGATAGCTAGTTATGGCTGTCTTTTATGTGTAGATGCAGTATTGAGCACTAAAGCAGAAAGCTCACTACTTGGTTGAATTCTAGTTGACAATCACCTGTGAGCTGTTCGACTAGACAGCACAGTAAAGACATAAAGGAAAAGTGAAACTCACTTTTGTCTCTTTATAGTCTCTCCTTACCCACCCACTGACTGCAGTTCGGATGAAGTGAGGGATGAGTTCTACCGAAAACTAGCCAGCCACTTATTGAAAGCCGAGCGCTGACACATGGTTTTTGTTGCAGGTGATTTCAATGCGCAGGTGTACAGGCTGTCACTTAGTTAACACTTTCGGAATCTTAGCCAAACAAACAGATAATGGAGGTCACCTGCTAAAACGGTGATCTATAAATCACCTATTTCTAGCCAGCACAAATTTCGGACATAAAGAGACATGACATAGCGTCCACTGAGCTCAACTCAGCGGTCGGCACAGATAGACGGCTTAGCTATCATTCATCGCTGGAGAGGTTCGGTGAAAAACTGCCACTCCTTCTGGAGTAGGTGTTTGGACAGTGACCACGTTTGTTAGAGTGCATGTATGTCTACGTCTAAATAGACTTGGGAAAAAGTTAGTGACCAGAACATAGCGTGTGCAGCTTGACAATGAGAGCACTAAGGCTGGTTTCATTGAGAAACTCTCGAAAGTTATCGGAATGAAGCAGTATCACTCATCCCGAAGGAGCTTGACACCATCTCCAGTCTGCTGTTAAGGCAACGTTAAAACCGTAGCCGACTCTCTAAAAGTGGTGAAAAAGAGCCAGCGCATCTCCCGCTTCTCGTGGATTAATGGATGCTCGCAAAAACATCCCTGGAGGCTCGACTACAATAAGGAGCGAATGCAACTCAAACGTAGACCAACAAAAAGTAGACAGTTGTTGAGACATTAAGGAAACTGGAGCGAAAAGGTCAATGGTTAGTGAGACGATAGAGTAGATGGATGGGTTTGCAACTCACTTGCAGGGGGACGACTGAAACGATGGGTGAAACAGTTCATCCAGCCTCTAGGTACTATTTCGTTGCTCACTATCTAGTCGGAGCCTGAGTAGAACATCCAGGTAGGACTCCCAAGATTTTCAAAAGTCAAGAAAGCCGTAGGGAAAACCTGGAATGAGGAAGAGCAGCATGGTCAGATGGACTGGTCTCAGAGGTATTTAAGGACAGTGGTCGAGGATTTTTAGTCAAGTTAACTGAAGTGCTAACTAGTGTATGGGAATCAGATACGATCCCCTATGATTAGTCTCAGTCATTGTCGCCTTCAAGAAAAGTCCTATGATAACCATGGAGGAATCAGCCTAACGAACATAATGTCAAAGATTCTAGGTTCTATAATCACTAGACGTCTGAACAGAGCTCGAAAACACCAAATACGAAAAAACCAAGCAGGCTACAGACCTGGCTGTGGGTGTATTGACTAGACACTCCGCCTGGTTCCGGAACAGGGACACGTATCGGCACCTGACACTAGCCGTATTTCGTGACCTGAAGGTGGCACTTGACTCCGTTGGTCCAGAGGTCATCGCAGTTTCTCGCTGAAAGGCGTACCGAATAAGTACATTACTCTGTTAAAGGCTCTGTATTCGAACACCCGTGGGTGTATTAAAGCTTATGCTAAGTTGTTAGGTGAGCTGTGTATGCCGATTAATGTCCATCAGGGATGCCGACTCTCCATTATCATTCAATTTTATCATAGATATTCTTATGGAGGTCTCCCTCTCGTTACCTGACTTCACAGAAGTTGACCTTGTCGCAGGGGAATTTTCGTTAGACCTAGAATACGCAGATGACATATTCCTGTTAGGTGAAGACGCTGACAAAATACAGAGTCTTCTGGACACCTTGAGTGGCAATTTGAGAATGCTTGGGATGCGTTTCTCACCACCCAAATGAAAGTTATTGCTCCAGGACTGATCTTCAGCGTGCCCTGTCCAACAATGCAGAGTGAGGCGATTGAGTGCGCCGACCACATCACTTCCCTGGGAAGCTGGACCAACCCTGGTGGGTCAGTGGACGACGAAATTTCAGCGCGGATACAAAAGGCTCGTTTGGCTTTCGCCGACTTATGACATCTGTTGCGCCGCTGCGATATCCGATTGCCTATTTAGGGTCGAGTGTACTGTGCTACAGTTCGTTCCGTCCTACTCTGTGGCTGAAACATGGCCGTTAAAGGTGGTGTAGATCAAAAGGTTTCTGGTGTTTAGCCATCATTGTCTTCATAACATATACCATGTGTCGTGGTGTCATCACGTAAGTAACGCAGAAGTCAGGTGTAAAGTTTTAGGTAGGAGTGAAAAGTCAGTTGATAAGATCGTGAACCGTCATAGACTGAGATGGCTGGGAAATGTGTCACGTATGTCTACTCACCGTCTCCCTCATCATGCAATGTTAGCTGCAGTACATTCAGGCTAGAAAAAGGCTCGGGGCTGCCAGACTGAAACATGGCATAATTGCACGAAGTCTTTGCTGGTTTGAGCAATGTTAGGAGATGCAGACTAGCCGGTTGGAATCGACATGACAACAGAAACCAGTGGTTGCAGACTGTATGTGATACTGCTCAGAATCGATGTCTGTGGCACGGAACTACCATTCTCTATCTTCATGTTAACCGCTATACTGGATTCAGCATTTTATCATTCTTCCTTCCTCTTCTTTATCGCTTTCTACTATTTTTGACTGATTTCTCTCTTTCTTCATCTCTCATCTTAGTACTCTGTTACTTGTTATGCTGATATAAGGCGTTTCAACTTAAGCCGTCGCGCAGTAACGCCTGATCCTATGTCAATATTGATGATGACTTTGTCACTGACTGAAATTCTGGGCTTTGTGTCGTTATAGGTTATAAAACAGTTGCTCCCGGAAAACCGACCTTCAGTACGACATCTGTTACAACTATTTTGAAACCGTAACCGCTGCCTAAACTGACTACTTTCAACGTCCGAACTCTGATGAAGATCGGTCAATAGACACGTTTGAATAGGACTATGGGAAGCATCGGCATTGGTGTGTACTATATCTCAGAGACTCGCTTACAAGATCCCAGTAGAGTGCTTCGAATAACTTCACCGTCTGTCAACTCCAAAGTTGTATTCTCAGTGTGCTTATCCGGTGACTACGATATCAGCAGTCAACTTTGCTGTTGTTAACGTCTCAAAATATTCCAGAGCCGAAGCTGCACTAGTCGACTGGAATCCCATCAAGGTCGTCTATGTTCAGCTTGACTGAAAGGTCCGATTAGAGTGGGAAGTGACTGGCAAGGAGAACGATGTCTCTTCGTCACCTTTACCCATACCTGGACTGAATAACCTGCCATACCAGGTTCAGTCAACAGATATCATAGTCCTAGCTGGGAACCTGAATGTATAGGTCAGATGTCTAGGTTCAGATCAGAGTCGTACAGGTGCCTAGTGGCGATTGGTTGGTTGCAGGTTAAATAATGGGAATCATATTTTACAACTCTGCGCAAATCACAACCTGCTTCTAGCTAACACTAACTTTTGGAACAGCTATCAGTGTTGTCGCACCTGGAATCCCTCCTGTGCCACTCAAATCTGGACTCAAATAGGTCATACTGCAATCAACTACCGATGATGTCAGTGTAGTCAGAACTATCTCTCCTTTTGGAACACTTATCTGGACTCTGATCACGCTTTTAACGTTAAGTTCATCTTGTATATTTGTGATCAAACTGGTTGCACCTAGTATTTCAATTAAAAGTATAAAACCGAAGTAGATTCAAGACTTGTTGTAAAAGCTCTAGAAAGTATAGATGACTATTGGCTGCAATTAAAAAACAATGAAAACTGCTAATAAAGTTGCTTGTGGTTTTGAAAAGAGTCCTGCCAGCAAACACTGAGTCTTTCCGGGCTTCTTACAACTTCTTGAGACTCATTATTGCATTCTGACAGACAGCGAGTACAATGGTAGGCGTAAGTTCCTTGCGCGATGGACCAAAAAGTTCGGATAACACCAAACAATTATTATCCGTATCCTGAGCTACAAATCTTCTCTACTATTTCAGGGGATCAGATGTAAGGACCATGAGGCTTAGTGGTCAAAACGTGCGAGATGTAAGTAGCAGTTGCATCTGGTAGTGGTCGGAAGCTGTTCCAGCTCATTCGAGACACTTGCAGCAAGAAGCTTCGTTCCAGTGAATGATCTGCGAAGTCGGTGGTATGTTCATCACCAACTTTCATGTATACTTGGAACCCAGGGTGGAGCGTTTCAGAAGTCACTTCAACTGACCTACCGCAGCAACATCTATCTCAGTCTTCTGCTACATGATCATTTAACACCGGTCGACCTAACGAAGTAGTGGTCTATAAGGAACTCCAAGTTCTAAGGCGGTATAAAGTACCTGATCCAAACAACCCAATTATGGCTGTTTATGAGAATAGAGGTAAGACTGCAGTCAGGGAGCTGATAACATTGTTTGGGAATGTATGACAAACTAGGAATATTCCACCACTCTGAAATGGAACCACTAAAGGTGTTTACGTAACGTATGTGATAAACACCGGAGTACCAATCTTCTACCAGTAGCATCTGAAATATTGGCTGTTAACATGTTCCTCAGGTTCTGCAAAACGCATAAGAAAGTAATCATCGAGGAGTAGGCTGGGTTTCGTTCAGCTCATGGATGCATTCATCACGTGTTTACCCTCCGCTAGATCCTCGAAAAGTGCTGCACGTATTCCAGGCTAATGCTAGTTTTATTCCTCGCAGGTGTTTCTTAGATTATTGTTTTTTCATGTTTGAATCTAATTCATTAGAAATTACTTTCCTAAACGTATGATTATTTAATTTTTCAAAGGACCAGATGCAAATTTAGTTCTTCGCTCAGGCATTTCATCTTCTGATATTCAAGGTTTTGAAAACCTCTACTTCATGGAAAGTATGCTGATTGGATCACTTTTTGGTTTGAATGCTTCTGATAAAGAAATTCGTTTAACACGCTGTGGATATACAGGTGAAGATGGTTATGAAATCAGTATTCCAGCTGAAATAGCTATTCCAGTTGCTGAAGTTTTAGTAAATCACTCTTCTGTAAGGCCTATTGGATTAGCTGCTCGAGATACCTTGAGACTAGAAGCTGGTATGTGTTTGTATGGAAATGACATATCAGAAGAAACAACACCGGTTGAAGCTTCACTTTCTTGGCTATTTCGTAAGTTGTCAATAAGTTAATTTTGATATTCAAACACTTATCATTTCTATTAGGAGGTGGTAGTAAATAAGTAACAGAACATATATTGACTTTAGAATGGAAATATCTGATCCCGATAAATATTCGATTTCCACTTATAGATCATTTTCATACCGTGAATTCGTTTGTCCGTGACTGTTAAGCTATTCACAATTCTGAGCCATACAAAATGACACAGGAGAACTACACAGACCTTAGAAATGAAAAAAAAGGACAGGAACAAAAATAGAAATGGATTATTAAAAAAGAAGTCTCAAAAATACATTCAAAGAAGCACTGATCACATTCTCTATACTTTTCAATGGTAAAGGAAACAAAATAATTTCAGAAAGGTCACTACATGTTCGATCATTATGCTTTGATGGTCAAAAGTACGAATAAATGTAAATTGTACCTTAAAAAAATCGAAACATATTTACTAGTTACTCTTTAATAGCACATTGTTAATGGATATCGAACAGATAATACCTATTATGATTTTTCAGCCTGCCTCAGTAGTCGAATGTAATTAGCAATTCTGCCTCCTATTGTTAAAAACAACGAATATATCTTTTAAATTTGTTAACTGAAGAGAAAAAATTGTTTGTCATGCTGCTACAATATGCTACCTAAGTTGAACGCAGGTATTTTTTTTGAAAGGGAACTGTATCAAATACTCATTGGTTTATTTTGTTGCATTTTAGCTAAACAAAGACGTCTGGGTAGAGATCCGAAATTTCCTGGATATTCAATTATAAGTAACCAGTTAAAGAATAAAAGTGAAGTGAAACATCAAAGGATCGGTATGATAAGTGAATCAGGTCCTCCAGCAAGACGTAAGTTATAAATAAATTCTTATTTTAATCCCATGTTAAAGACAAACAATATCAAGTATAGGCGTAAAGCTTGTCAGTTTCTTGAAAGCAGATTTCGTATGCCAAGAAGCTTGAAGCTCCTTGTTTTTGATTATATTGGACACATAATCTGTACTCTGGATGAGCAAACGCATAGAGTGAAGAAACTACTAATTACTGAATTAGTTTCACTGGCTGTTCTATCAGTACTGGTTAAGAAAATAAATAATGTAAGCGAAGACTGGTACATAACTTTGTCTCGAAAATGCTATGTATTAGTGTAGAGGTATTGTTATGGTTACGAAGGCTATATATATATATATATATATATATATATATATATATATATATATATATATATATATATATATATATATATATATATATATATATATATCATCCAGAAAGAATATAATACGCGCGCTTAGCTGACAGGTAACTTGGTACGCAGGAGTCACTGACTGCAACCCTGGGACGAATAGAGAGAAGATCGAAGCTGGCAGATGGGAGTGTATTACTTCGAGAATAGAATATATAATGAATCAATCCAAAACACGTGAATGAGTATACACATGAAAAATGATCTTGTCCGCACTTGCAGAAATTCGCATAGTAAGAGTAAAAGTTAACCAATCGGCGAATTACATTACTATGGGGGCAGAAATAGACTATTAGTCATACCGTAAAAATAATGTGGGAATGACACGTTAAAATGCTCAGATCAATAACAATGTTTTACGCAAGACTGGAGCATCACAACAGGTTTCGATGAGGAACCAATTGAAAAGAATTATTTTTTCGCTCCCATTATTTATCTTTTAAATGTCCAAATGGAAATTCTTACAGTATTGGTTTACGTTGAAAATTACTTTTGAAAATCATTTACTTACGTTCTCTTTTATTGATAATGAATAGTGACTATCAATAGGATTCAGGACGCGCGTTCCGTTCTATTTGGGACTAGTCAGCCGGATATGCCTGCCTCCTAGTGAGCGAAGTTGTTTACTCTAGGACTCGAGACCGATCGATAGTGACTGGCGGTAGAGTCCAGGACACGCAGGAGCCCATATGCTAATAGGGACTGATCAATTCAATCGCCTCAACCACAGGATAATACAAGCAACATTATTGAAACTATGCCTGTCACACAAAAAGCGGCTATTGTGACTTTGTGATCTAGTGAATAACGCTCTGGCATTTGAAGCGATCGACCCCGAGTTCGAGTCCTAGTGGGAAAAACTTCGCTCATTTTGAGGCAGGTACATCCAGCTGTCAAGTCCAAAATAGGATGAAACGCGCGTCCTGGATCCCACTGCTAGTCACTGCCTATCATCAATATATAATTGAAACACAGGCAATATTGAGACGTCCGCGCAAGAGCCTATATACCAATGGAGACCAATCAATTCGCTCCGCTCAACGATGGGATAATACGTGCAACAACTTTCTGTTTTATTATTTGAAAGTCAAGCGTGAAACTACGTCATAATTATTCAAATCCAGTAAGGATTATGAACAACATCAACTTCCTATTTTAAATGACTTTTGGCATTCACATTTAATTATTACTGTGAATATATTATAAACTAGATTATGCTGCAGAAGCTGCACATCACCTGAACCTATTGCGAATAGCAAGATCTATTGAAACTACTACTAGTTTTTCCTAAAATCATGTTATTGCATTTCAAAACAGCTTGACATAAAACATATTGGGTTACTAAATCTCTTACTAACATCTACTGGTTGGTTAATAGTGTCATTTAACTTCTTTTTATTTCGGCAGGTGAGCTATGATGTTAGCTTAGTTGTTGAATGAAATAAACTGCCTATCGATTATATTTTTGTACATTTCATTCCGTTCTGTCATGTTGTGCGGCTGTGAAACGTGGCCATTAAAAACAGAAGACATGAAGCGATTGCAGGGGTTCGGTCACAGATGTCCTCATAGTTTGGCTTCGGTTTGTTGGAATCATCGTGTAAGCAATGTTAAGGTCTGGCAAAGGGTACTAAACAAGAAAGACCAGTCGATTGATAAGGCTAAAAACCTTAATCGACTAAGATTCCTTAGATATTTACTGCATGTCCTCAGCCACCACCTACCTCAACGTACCATGCTACAAAGTTCGTGTTACAACACAAACCAAAATGACGCAACGTTGATATACTTGTAATTCTCCATACTATATTCCTCTGCTACCTTTATCCCTGCCTTGGAGAGGGAGAACTTAATGGATGACCTTACTTATGAATCTTAAAATGTACTTCTTTTTCTTTGATTTTGTCACCCCTTTCACACTATTACTATATTCGCATTCAACTTTTATTTATTTACCGCCTTCAGTCTTCAGTATCACACAACCTCATTGTCGTTTTTTGTTTCTTAATCTTTGACCTACAATATCTATCTATCTGAGCACCTTTGAAATTGTCGTGTCATTATGAACATTCGTATTAACCTTTTTACAATCCGTATTCCTTGTTTTTGTTGTCCCACAAATTACCTTGATTGATAAATTGGTTAATTGTGGCTAGCAGAAGAATCCAGGACGCGCGTTTCGTCCTACTTGGGACTCGTCAGCTGGATGTACCTGCGCGTCCTGGATTCTTCTGCTAGCCACAACCAACCAATTTATCATAATGAAAATTCAGGCAATATTCTTTGTTTTGCTGTTAGCTTGAAAAATAGCAGTTTGAAACCATTTTTAATGTTTTCCTTTTTCAAGTTGATATTCATCATGAACTGACACCATTTGGAGGAACACTGGAGACCTGGGAGCACTAGACAGCTGTTCGTCCTAGTATGGGACTCTTCAGAAGTGCGTACCCACGACTTCGCCAGGGATCGGACCCGCCACCTTCAGACTCGTTGCCAGCACCTTACCTTTGAGCCACCGTATCGGAATCCAGTGGTCCATATTCCTGATTTCTGTCAGTTCACGACATAGCGCGACCGCCACCCAATGTCGTCGTTGAGTATTTGTCCTCACAGTCTCGAGGTTTGCTCCACAGATCATGGCTTCTCATCGGAACTTCGGGAATCACCTCTTGAAGCTGGTCACCAATGGGCACTAGTTCAATTGAATTTGAGGGTTTGCGGGAATCTATAGATTTTTTTTCAAGTTGGTATTCATCATGCAATGAAATCAGTTTGAGGAACATTGGAGACCTGGGAGCATTAGACAACTGTTTCGTCCTAGTATGGGGTTCCTCAGCAATACGTACCCATGACCCCGCCAGGGGTCGAACCCGCTACTTTCAGGTTCCGTGGCCAGCATACTACCATTGAGTCACTAGGATAAAGCAGCAGCTGTCTATTTCTCCCAGTTTTCCAATGTTCCTCCAACTGATGTCAGTTCATGATCGATACCAGCTTGAAAAAAATCTCTTAATCCCCACTAACCCCCAAACTCATTTCTATTGTGTTCAATTAGTATTTGACACATTTGAAAAACATATTCATAAAATTAAAACAGAATAAAAAGTATGAATTTGATGAAATAAATTCTATGGGAGATTTTCGGTCACTTAACATTTGAGCAGGTTGCCAGTATCTGTAGTCATTTATTTATTCATTTCTTGCGATACTTTGTTTTAATATTACTATTTAGGTTATTTATAATATGTAACTGTTCGACTATCTGTAAGCTGAAAGTTCAAATTAGTCAATTATCTTGTTTATTAACCAGATTTCATTTGAGCTGGTTAATTTAAGGATATGAACGTGCTATATTATCTGCACTTAGTATGAGTTGAACAATCAGTATAGATTTCCACTGTTATGTACTCTTAATGATTAGCTGATATGAAATGTTGAAAGTAGCATACTAAGGTTAGTTAAAATATTTCTCTTCCTGGTTATATGATCTCAGATTGTTTACTAGCAGTATTGGTCATAGTTACTGAAAACAGTTGACATTCTGTTGTTGAATAAAGGATGAATCTGACTTAATCAAAGCATAAATTAAAAAAAATAATAATTAGTCAATTGTTCCTACAACTGTAAAGTTAGTTCTTAATTATCTGTACTGTGTATGGTGATTATGAAATTCAAAAAAGTGAAAATATTCAAAAATGAAATAAGCGTGATCGGTAGCCTGGGTATGGTTAGGAAAATAACATGTACAAGGAAAAATAAATCAGCAATGCTGAAGTCAACAAAAAATAGGCGAAATCAATCACATACTAGATGTGTACCTTTATATATGCGAATCTTGCTACTAAATTGGTAAGCTAACAGTACTTTTATTCTGTATAAGTTGCAAGTTTGAATTCATTTCGTACTGTCTAGGTTTAATCTTGAAAGAAACGTTAGGGGATGCTGTTTAACTGCAGTATAGTAACAACAATAATAATGATAATAACAATGGTATAATAATAATCGGTTTATCCCAAATAATATGTATGATGCAGTATAGAATTCTCAGCACATAGTTTTTCATCAAAGTCACTCCTAGACTAATTTTTTTTCAAACGAAATGATTATTGTTTCTAAATGACATGAATAATAATAGTATTCAAGGCAATAATATGAAACAACCAGCTGGTTTCGGATTACCGTCTGGTCCATAAAGAAGAATCAACAGAAACTAGAGTGTATGTTTGGTGGTAGCGGTTCATTCAGCCAGCACTAGAATCTGCAACTCAAGCTAAGTATCTGAGGTATAGAAGTATGATGTACTTTTGCACACTGAAAAGTCCACTTCCATACAACGTGGTATTTTTTCTCTGTTTTGTTATTTATTGGAGAAACGATGAGTTAAAAATATTTTAAAAATGTGCAAGAGTACATGATACGTTCAGAGGACATATCTAAGCCATTAAAAGAAAAAAATTATAGAAAAAATATGTTCAGTGGCAAATTTCGGTAGCCCAAGTTTCAAGCAGGCCACCATATTCATCAAGCTATTTGTTTAGTTAACGGGATACTTAAAATATTATCAAGCTTTTAATAACTGATAGGTCAATTGTATTCTTTTTTACAAGCTTACTACTCATAATTTATGATAATTTTTAAAGATTTACTTGTGAATTATTTCTTGTTTATTTTTCTGTTACTTATCTCTATGCCTATTCTCAAGATGGTGCGAAAATATTCGATGAATCGATGAACCTAGAAGTTGGCAGTGTAACAAGTGGTTGTTTATCACCTACATTAAATAAGAACATTGCAATGGCTTATGTGAAAACAGATTATTGCAAACCTGATAAAAAGCTTTTTATTCAAATACGTCAAAAGTTCTATCCATATACAATCACTAAAATGCCATTTGTTCCTAATAAATATGTCAGACGACCATGAAAATGATATCCATCCTATCTCCTTTTAGGAATAATTATAATTGCTTGTTAACTTATTTATTTTCCTACTTTTTACTTAAAGCATATTTCGTTTGTTAAATGTTCCATATAATTGCACAATACAATCTGTTTTTAATTGTTTATTATTTATGCTGGGCGATGATTGAAAGTGAAATGAAAATTTGGACCACCGCCAAACTACGGCTATCTCAGATAGTCAAATGATAATTGTTTATTACTTCTGGGAAGCCACTAATCCTGTGAAACGTTACTTCCAGTCTTTTACTTAATAATTTGTGCATGAATTATTAGGGATAAGATGTAATAGTGGTGTGTGTCGCTTGTTTTGACCTGGTTATCCGTTTTCTCATTGAGTACTTACATATGATGAATGAATATTAATTTTGGATGAATTCTGCAAATATGACTTCACTTTTTTACCATTGTTCCACAAAACCATTTGTTTTCCAGATGACATCATAGAAGATGATATTATTTCACTTTAATATTCCGTAACACTAGTTAAGGGAGATACTGTCAACTTTCAGTTCAAACTTAACAATTAGTTGTACACACAGAAGGACACGTTTGCGGTATGGTTCTAATGTGTTCTACTTAGAAGAAGGCATGAGTAGTGTATGGTGCGACGTTACGGGGCAAAGTAATTAAAGTTGACATATAATTAGTAGAGGTTCTGGAAGAAGAGATGAGAAATATTCGAATGAAACATAAAAAGGAATCGATAGAAATCGAAGGACAATTCATCTTGGAAGTATAAAGCAGATATTATTTGCATGAATTACTTTAAATCCAAGTTTTTATTATTTTATCAGTCCTCAGTAGTATTTCTCACCAGTTTCATTGTCTACAGGATTACCACCTAAACCACTACTGAGTGATTGCCCGGAAACTGATAGCTTCTGCCTAAATATGCGATATAGGGATGGCGCACATTTGTTAGCAGTCGACAAACTTCACATCAGAATCTGTAGGAAACTCGGAATGTCATTTTCCGTGTTTCGACTAAAAGGAGACCAGACGGTTTTTCCGAAGACTGATTTACAAAAAACCCAACATATCTTTCGAAATTTAAGAACTAGATATAATTGAACTGAAGAAAACGTCTAGTTCACTGTGTGTCATCAGTAAGCAGAAGAATTTGCACAAATGATGCACTTGATGACAGATTTGACAGACTTCAATAGAATGGATTTATGTCCAGATTTAGTTGGAAAAACTAATAGACCAAATCAATGAGTTCACACACACTTCGGAATAAGACTTTATTTGTAAATTTTGATTGCAGACATGATAATATAGATGAAAGTTTGACAAACCGGCTGGACAACTTCTTGATAGGTACATTATTCTCTGTTAAACAAATCACCTCTAGTCAGTGAATGATTCTGGTGTGTTACTGACAGTTTTCTGCTTTAGGTCACTTTAATGTTCTGTATGTCTACAAGTTTCATTACTCATGTTAAGGTAATTATATGAGTTGCACAAAGTGTGCATACACTCTAAGCAAATCTACGAACATTTTACATGAGCTTAATAAGGGAGGATGTAAATCACTCACCTGTCCAGTTTGTGAACAAGTAATCAATGCTGGATTGACAGATAGCTGGATCAAAGTATTCTTCTAATGTTATCTACAAGGTTCGAAAAAATTCTCACTCCATTTGTTTTTGTAGCCATTTGAGTACATGTTCTCCCACCCTCCACTGCATGGCTCGATTACTCCTCCCTATGTATGTATGACCAAACAAATGTAAACTAGTAAACACAATGGGATGTGATCTAATCATTGATATAGTGTTTAGGTTTGTGGTGAAGGATATGCTTGCTTTTTCTACGATAAGATTACCTGCGTAGTATATTTTCCTATTGGTTGGTGGTAGCCTACATATCAAAATTATGCTACTCAACTCCCCTCTGTATGGTAAGGTGATATAGATGCTTTCTTTAGGAACCGTGCATAGAGTATCTGATGTACAGATACGATAGATCCTACTAAACAGACATTTTACTAGACCTCGCTTGTATTGGATGGGACAAAAACTGAAAATCTAGACATTGTCCCGTCTATTTAGGCTTCCTGTGAACTGACCGTCTTATTGAAACATCTTGTCGACTCAGGAGTGCGTCTAGGAATGGCAAATGATTATTATTCTCTCTCTCCCAAGTCAGGTTGATATGAGTTTGTATAGTGTTAAGTCTTTTAAGTAGACAAACCATATCCTCATGCCTCTCTCAATTCAATATGATGTCATCGACATGTGTCTTGTAAAGAGAAGCTTTGGTGATAAGATCACCAGCCAGGATTTCGATATACGCCTTATAAATATCAGTTAGTAATTGTCTTAAGCGACTACGCAGCTGCACCGTCAACCTGTCGAAAGCGTTCCACTTCAAATCGGAAACTTTGTTGGTGTACAGCAATAATTTTTTACTCAGAATAATTAGAGTAATAGGAAATGTAAGGTTTTTTTCGAAGATATATAGTCGCAGAGAATGTTCATAGTCTTGGATAACAGCACGTTAACGAATAAACAATTTACATCGAAAGAGCACATACTCTTGTTTTGGATGATCATGTTACTAAAACAGTCAACAAGTTGAAAAGAATCTTTCAACGAAAACTTGCAGAATTCGTTTTGAACTGGATTCAACATTTTTGTCAACCATTGGGCCAGTTTATATGTGAGAGCACGACACAGAAAATAAAGGGTGTAAAGGATTATTAATTTGAAGGAATTCGGATTCATTAGATTTCAATGAATTAAATTTCTTTTGCTAATAGCGTTCACATCCTAAAGTTTTACAAAATTAGCGGTTACTTTTGCTCCCAATTTTCCAATATCTGATGGGACGTCGGCTATGAATTTGCTTTCATTACTGAGGATGGATAACATTTTTGTTTGCATATTCAAATTTATTCATCACAACAATACCTGATCCTTTATGGGTTTGAGAATGATTATGTCAGATTTGTTCCATAATTTTTTCAAAGGTTTGAAGTGCTGTGAATTAAAAATGTTTCTCTACCTTGTTTTTGAATTATGGGATTGATGAGCAGTATCAACTAATTTAGCTTTTATCCAACTTTGATTATCTGAAAGAAGACTCAACTGCTCCTAGAGATTTTCAAACTCGGTATCAATATCAAGATGAGAAATTTTCGTATCAAACGGAGAAATTAAATACAAGGGAAAGCGTCTTTTTCTAATGAACTGAGATTACAAAAATGATTTCTATAGCAGTTTAGATACTTCCAATGTCGTTTGAACTTCTGTCGAGTCGAAAAAGGGTCTACAAATTTACGAGGAAGGTTGTCTGATTGCCTTCCGTATGGACAGGAATGAATATTCATTCTACTAATGAAAATCAGGAGGAAGAGATTAGAGTAAACGATACCAGGCGATGCGCTGACGACGCATGTACAAAAGTGGATGAGCATATATATATATATATATATATATATATATATATATATATATATATATATATATATATATATAAGCCACTGTCTGTGAATTTCTTCTCAAGATATTCGAAACCAAAGCGACTTCCCAACAATAATCGAAAGGCTCAAGTTACGCCTAAAATCCAAAATTGACTAGGTCTCCTACGTGTAAGTTTCGCCGCTCTTTATCCTCTTAGTAAGTGTTTGTAGTGTGGCCAAATACTATTGGCTTCAAAAGGTATCAGTAAGGAGTTGACCTTGACGCGAGTATTGTGAATGCTGACATAAGTTTTCTCCAACTTTCGGGACATAACCTAGTTGTTTGGATGGCTTGTGATCAATTTCTAACTGTAGTCGACTTTCAGGAACAAAGCAGTGAGTAAAACTCCTAGATGAACGAAACAGAAAATTTATAGTCTCTGCTGTTTAATAACTTCAGAAGTATACATTTTAGTTGTTCAGTTTTATTCCGGATAGTACTTAATTATCTGATAATCCTGTTAGTTTCTTCCTTGAGATAAAGTTTACTAACATGTTCTATTGTTCTCTGGATTTTGTCAGAGATTGTTAGTGATTCTATCAGTAAATAATACTGCATCACTGTGTGTTATAAGTCAAATAAAACAAATCAGGTATGGATGAATACTGTTGACAATATTGATGTTACGGATTCCATTACGAAAATTGCATTCAGATATTTATGAATTTTTTTTCGGTAACTAAATTATGCAATCGAAAAAGATTTGGTGAATTGTTGTATGAACGGAAGTAGTTAACACCGAAAAGCAGAAATACTGATCTTGAACACAATAGTCGTTAGTTTAAATACTTCAATTGAATAAATATTTCTACATACTTTTTTATACTACTTTTATTTACTTACAGTAACCTACTTGCTTTTACTGAATTTTGGTTAGGTTTCAAACGCTAGAACTGATAGCATTTTGAACAAAAAATGATATTATTAAACAGTAATATAAAAAAAGATCCTCATTTGTCATTTTTGTTCGGATAGGAGTTTTCGTAAAAACACCTTTCATTTGAAATATGTGTATATCTTAACTTATGATTATGATACCATTGGTAAAAAATCCACGGTTTTCATTCTTTGCTGCATAGTTCAGTTTCTGAAAGTGATGAGTTGGTTCACTCTCTCCCATTGGTTCATGCATCACCCCTAGGTTAATTGTTCATCGAATAAGCTATTCCAATTATTTTAATACCAAAATATAAAACTAAAATCTTGCTTGCATCGATGCATTTTCATAGTACACAGTAGCTATACTGATGCAAAAGTTTGGTAGTTCAGCAAGGAAGGAAGTTGTATAGACATCTTAAGTTGGAAACAATCATTAAATGGAAGCAAAGTGAATCTAAACTTCAAGATTCAGACTGCAGTTGGAGGATTAGTAGAATGGATGCTTCATTACTGACTAGTACTTTATGTAAGTAAAAATTTTTTCACTGGAAATTGTGTCCAAAATCTTCGGTATTTAAAATTATCAGTAAAACTAACTCCCTTTTGTAAGATAACT